GATTGTTTGAGAGAATGAAATATCAGTAAATGTAAATAATTTAGTATTTTTTCGATATAGGTTTTGAAAATACAGTGAATCCTTCGAATCTGGATGGCAATAATGAATGTCTTATGAAAACTTCAGGAGAATATTTCCAAGGTAAACACATCTATTGTCCTCATATTTATGCAAGTAGGATGTAAATAATTTTTTGTTCACATGCAATCTTTATATCTTACTGTTAATCAAGAGCAAACTGGCGATTTTTCAAATAATTACATGCAATCCGTAGAACAGGAAACGTCCTTTGTTTATTTCAACGATAATGAATTCTTAGAATGATAGAAATTCATTTCGATTGGTATTCATTTTTATTAGATTAATAGACTGTTGAAAAAAATCTTTATCTCTTCATCTTCATCGTTATTACTGTATATTAGGCCATGCAAAGTTAATTTTAATGGTTTTCATATCATTAAAATTTTGAACAGACCCGGCTACCCGGCTACCCGGCTTTTTATTTTAAATTTTATATATAGCATATAAATTTAAGTTTGGCGTTTATCATAAAATCTTGATTCTAATTGAGTGTTATAATCTTAATAGTAAATATTATGCAATCAATCCTCTCTAAGTGCATTTAGAGAATAAAGAAAAATTGCAATTATAAAGATCATTCATATATCTGAGTCAAAGTTCAAAATCGTATTTAGGAATGTTTCATTTAATGAGATTGCACTTAAAGAGGTGAGTAATTATTATAAAAACTCGTAATTTGGTATACCAGGAACGTATTGAACGGAATGTATAAATCATAAGCAAGTTTTGAATCTGATTAATCGAGAACGTTTCTTACCACGACCCACTTATTCTATATCAGATTTAGCTTCTAATTTTATACCTATCGCTATGCATTGATATGATACTAATTGGCGCATATAATACGTACCATAAAAGTTCATGTACAAGATCCGGATCTGGTACATTCCACCAATTTTAAAACCTTCAATAGGCCCGAGTCTATTGTATAGACATTGGTCTAATAATCGGGGAGGCTTTTATGTGGAGAAAATTGAATTCATGCGATATATATAATATTCTAATATCATACACGGGTCTTTCAATGATTGTTCCTTACAGTATACCTGGCTCTTCTACATTCCACCAAAATCTTCATCTATATTATAGACCCGGGTCTGATTTAAAGTGGGTCTACTATTTCAGGGGATCTTGTATACGAACTTTTACAGTAATCGAAATCATATATACAGTATTAGATTTTAATAAGTGATAATTTTAAGCATAGAAATCTGAACTGGATTATACCAAAAAAAAAGTATTTAGTTGCACCTAATCCTCCTAGTATAAGCACTATCAACGAAACACAAAACAATCAAATAATTATAATTATTAACTAAATGAAAAGATGCAATTAAAAAAATGACATCTACTAATATGGGATCTTTATAATAGGGATGGACTCGGTCGGTTAAGCCGAAAATAACCGACCGAGTCCATCCTACTTTATAAGCCTAAAAAATATGATTATGAGACAATCAAATTTACTCAGACTGACTTGCTCGTTATTTATATCCATCCATTCTCTATTCAGGGATATTTTTTAATGCCAGCTAAAATTTAAAGAGCCTAAAATTATTACAAATCCTACGTAGGCTTTCAAAATTTTTATGTCGGGACTGCGCAGTAATTTTCTACATAACCTACATATGTGTCCATCCCTAGGCATAGATGACTCAACTTTATAATCAATTAATATTTTATCAAAAGGGTCACCAATACTGCAAGAGATCCTACTATTTTGTACTCAAAATATTATAGATGTGAACTATACTTGTTAACCGAAACCTTTTTGCTAAAATCTGAAAGTTTCGGGTTTCGGATTATACTTTCCGAAACCTTTCCCGAAACCCGAAACCTCTCCCGAAACCCCGAAATCTGAAACCTATTCCGAAACTTAAAACT